TTACTCGCTCCAAGCCGCTGCAACAATGTTTAATACTCACATAGCTCATGTTAACATTAAAGTTAGGCAATGGAATGTATGCTTACCCAGAAAATCAAATTTGAGAGTCAGAAGTTTAGTTTCAATTGATCATATTCAAGCCGGCTGTCAAAGAAATGATGCGTACAAACTGGTTCATTAATGGAGTGAACTTGTTACTTACATTGTTCTAGATCTTGGCATGTTTGTTTATCTGTGTAAGTTGAATTGATCCAACCTCTTGATTAGAAATTATGAAGTACTAGAAATTATGAGGCAGTTATAAACTTCACTGCTCCACATGCCTGATATCACCCAGAGGTGATAGACATTCCAGCCTAGAAGGACAATTCTGAGTCCAAGTGGACTCTAGCATGCTTAGTGAGTCATAGAGCCGAACAAATACAAATTGAAATTTGAAGAAAAACATGGAGTTGGGTGCATTGATGAACAAGATATTATCTTTTTGACCATATCAATATCTTAGAAATGAGATAATGGATGTGAACTTAGTTCCAAAACCTTGCTTTGATCCATTAGGTGACTCAAAAAAAGGAGAATAAAAAACCCCAGAAGATGTATCAGCATCACTTCAATCACAGTGCACACACCTCTAAATGCATATTACAAAGCTAATTCTCCAAAAAGCATAGCAATAAAGTTATGAGTTGCATAGTTATGGTCATCATGTGTACCTATAAACAGTAAAGGTGCTGCACAGGGAAACCACCTCAAGAGTGTCCACTAGCACCTCCAGCTTGATCTCCATCCAAAAGCTCATTTACACAATACTGATGCAAGTTTTCATACATTTTCTTCCACTGTAGAACCAGCTGCATAGATCTTTTGCAATCAAGCTTTAGTCTTTGTCTCCATTTCAGTAGCCGCAGAAGAACCTTGTTGCTGAATATAAGACCAGGAACAAATGTTAGACAAAGATTTCAGGTGCACTTTGTATTCCAATTCTAATTCCCACAAATTGAACAACAACTTCTTTGTAATGCAACTTACTACATAAATCAACGGCTATAGGGCAACACAAAGACACAATACTTGACCCAAACCACGATAAAGAGGTAATATTAAGAGCAATTACAATCTCATTTAGGATAGCATGCTTGGCACTGACACGAGGTGAACAGTAATTGGGTAGTGTTTGGTTTGCTGCTTCTCAAAAACCATGAATCTTGATGTGTTCCTTCTTTACGATCCCAGCCTGTTCTCAGAAGGAAAAAAACAAAGGAGAAGTATCAAGAGGTAAGAACACATACACATAAAACCAGGACACCAAATGACTAACCACGACCCTACTTACGAATAGCAGGGCCATAATTCCCTAAATCTAAGCATCCACACAAGAAGTAAAAGGATATGTTGTACCAATGTTTTGTGCGTCTGTAAGTGTATTTTCGTGTTTTTTTCTTGGTTTTAATTTTTTAGGGGTTGGGATGGGTAGTAGGCAATGGTGCCACCAATGTGATAGTAGCAAGTAATTGGCTTTCAATGATGTCATGGAGAGCAAGGGTATATTCTAAGTCAGCAATCAGGAAAATAATTTAAAAAAATAGTTAAATGATCAAACACCATTGAGAAAACCACCACCACCACCCTCCTGGCATAGACAGAAGTTACTTAGTGACCTGTCAGGTTCAATTTGAGAGGTAGAATCAAAAGTATCCTTGGCAAATTATGACCTATCGAACTGTAGAAAAACTACCCTTTTTTTTCTATATTTCCCATTTATGTGGGTGCGCATTGTAAAGACGTAAACACGAGTCAAACACAAGTCTTCTGTAACAGAGTCGGAACCATAGGGTAAATCACCTGAACAAGAAAGGTAGAAACATTTTTCCTCTGATCACCTTGAAGCTGAATAACCTTCAAAAGGATAACACAGTATAATATGAGGTCCAGACGATACCCCCACCACCCCACAAGAAAAAAATATTAGAGAAACACAAGAGAATATTAACAGGGGTTAATGCAAAACTGGCCTAATTCTGGGTCCTGGACAACAGTACCATTGCAGCAAAACTCCTTCTTGAGGTCTTTAAGTATCTTATTGTAGCTGAATTCTTTCTTCAAACCCTGCACAGTTGTCAGGCTCTTCCGACCATTCCGCTGCTGTATACGGATGTGCACATAATCTTTTGATGACCCAGCGCCAGAGTCCTCAGCATTTGCCTCAGCAAATGGATCTAAAGAACAACATGAAGCAATGAATATATAAACCTTCCAAAAATATAGATCATTAAAAAGAACTCTCCATTCCCAACCCCCTCCCTCCCCTCCTTTATTAAAACCAAATTTTATTTATGTAAACAAGAATCCTTCCTTTCTATATTCTTCCTTGCACTTTTCCATATTCATATTCATTTACTTGATCATTTAGGAAAGAGAAAAGGGTCATGTACATTCTTAGAATTGATCAAAAGCAAATAGCAAATAACTAGACAAAACAAATCTACCATAGTTTGAAAAGGAGAGAAAAGGGGTGGAGGAACATATTTACCAAAAGCAGAAGGAATCTGGGTGTCGAAATCAGACATGAAACTTGGATGATGAAATCAAAGAGTCCAAACACACAAAAATTAGCCTGTGCTTAGTTCAGATGCTCAGGCCTGGATAGAAGGAGAGGGTCACATCAGAATGAAAACACAAAATAATATTTTGAAAGCATGAAACAAACGAACAACAATATTTTTTAGACATAAAAAATACACATAAGGAATGTCTCATGTTTTCATCAGAAACATTATCAGAAATAGTTGTAATATTCAAAAGATAATCTTGACTGGGTGCCATCTACAAAATAAGATTCAAGATGTCTTATTGTGCAACAATTCTGGACAGTTTCCACTTCGCCTATGTGCAACAAATATGCCAATTGAAGATATTACTTTCCCACTAAGGTAACCAAGGACATGAAAAATCAAAATATCATTTTTCGAATATTTTACACCAATTGGTAATTTGGTATCTCAAAAATTTCCCATAAAGCTTGAACTCCCATAAGAAAAGTTCCAAGATTGAATAATCTAATCAAACCAAAAAGGCCTAAAGACAAGCAACAAAAGTAAAAAAAATAAAAAAAATTAGAAACTACAACCCAAAGCCAATAAAACAGTACTGCTGTTTCACTATATATAGACTTTCAGAACCCAAGATATTTCATACAAAACTCATAATTTTTTATCTAAGGCATTCAATCAAAACCTTCAATTTTTTATTTATTTATTTTGTGAACAGGAACACCTTCAATTTATAAACAGCCAAAAAGTATGTGTATGACCAAATTCATGTCTTTAAAAGCTAAAATCTGAAGTATTCTAATCCAGATTAACAAGAATTCGTTATATGATATATGAAACTCAATCAAACGCATACATCATAGAATCCAAGGACATTAAGGTACCCACTCCTCCTATATGCAACATACATGCGACTTGAATGTATTCCTTTTCCCGTAAGCTGTTACCATCATGTCATCCAATGACATAAAAAAATTAAAATATTACTTTTCCAATATTTTCCCCCTATTTGTACCTTATAAATTTCTCAAAAAGATTCAACTCCCATAAATACCAAAAATTGCATCTATTATTGATGGGAACACGATGTTTCTCAATAGCTTCCCCCTAGATAGGCTCCATACCTGACATTCCAGCTGAAAGAACATAATTGACCTATAGCAAAGACCCACTCCAGTCAAAGTAGAGAAACTCCAGCAGAGAAGGAATAGCTGCAATTCCCAAACTTTAGACCAAAACATCAAACAGGCAGCTGGAACTCCTCCACAGCTGAGCTGAACTGTTAATGCTACTACCGCAATATCCTTGAGGGCCTGAACCAACAGCTGCAACAAAAACCAGTTGAGCAAAAAACCAACTGAACAGAGACATGAACAGAACGCGTTCACTGCTCTTCGCTGGAAGCTGCTGCTATTCGCTGAGCCTCTGTGTTCTTGCAAAGTTAACTCCAATAATTGAACTACCAAAATCCAGCTGTAAAAGAAAGGTTGAAATCCCAAACATGAGCGAAATGAATCAATATGAATAGTTTCATGAACAGTAACGTGTACAGTCCATCTTAAGAATTCCTCGCAAAATGGACCTATTAAATCATAAAATTCAGCTGAATTATCGAGCAACATTCCTCACCCTTAAAATACGCATCTGCCTTTGATCTTGCTGCAACAGATTGCGTGCTTCAGATGGAAGAGAAACAGCCGAAATGATTTCCTTATAAGCACATTCCTTTACTCCTTGGTTAGCTAGATAAGCACCATACAACTATCAGTTATACATTTTAAACACAAGAAAATTTATATTCCCAGGACTGTTCTGGTCAGAGTTGGAAGTGATTAACTTTATTTCCTAACTGGTGGTAGTGCTGAAGGTGGCATGCTTGGAGGTGCTGGAAATATTGGTTTGCTACTAGAGGTGGAGGCAGCAATAGTGATGAAGTGGTGACATTGGGGTCGACAATTCAACTTTTTTTTTTTGTGGTCTTGGGAATTTTTTAAAACATAAAAACTAATTATGTGATTTGATGTGAAATTTCAAGTCCTATGGAGCAATTAATGCATGTAAGGCATGAAACAAAAATGGAACATAAGTACTCAAACTAAGAACATGTACCTTGTATACTGAAATAGACTATAGTTGATGGAAAGGAAATGTGCATTGATATGTTCAATCGAGTCCCGTTCTCTATTCCTATTTTATAAATAACATGAAGTCCTGCCTAAATTTTGCATGTTATAACAAAAGCATTCCTTGACAGAAGTATAGGAAGATCCCCTGATATTACAACAATGACACATGCGACGCCATCTACTCGAACAATGAAGAAATATTATGTTTGTCAATCTGTAATCACATATGTTGCCTTCAACTCCAGACAGAGCAAAGAACTGTTTATTGGTCAGCAATTCCATCTTTTAAGCAGAAAAGTTTAGTTATGCATCTAATGTAATATGGCTAACCTTTCTGAATAAGTAAATCTGCAACATGATGCTAGAACAGTCACTGTTTACGTCACTGTTCACGTGATTGTTTAGCAGCTTAATTTCAGCAAAACATTTTACAGCCGATTTACCTTTCAGCTGAAACACCAAATAGGCTGCATTGCTCAAATGCATTACATCAGAGCAGGCTGCATGTGACCCAAAAGCAGGACAACACGAATTATTTAGAGAGATAGATAGATAAATAAAACCTTGCTATATGTAGATAGATAGATAGATGGATAGATAGATAAAAATGCAATTACCTCCCCACTTTGCCGGATCCAACCGAAACGCTTCCAAAGCACATTTCTGGCACATGGATTCTGCCATGTCAATGTACCTGACAACAAAATAGTCAATAAAGACTACACGGTGAAGAGCTATCCACTTTTGAAAAGCATCCAAGTGTAGATTTTACCAGAGTATCTTTCCAGCAAATAATACAGCTAAAAATGGTAAACAGCCTGCCAATGCCTTTCCTTCTACCATATTTCAAACAAATCAACACTTACACCATATAGCCAAACAATTAACCCTCATCATAACAAATGGGACTTAAAAGGCAAACCCCTGAAATAACATATTAAAACAACAGTCACACATCAAAACCAAGATGGAAGCATTCAATATTTTAATACATAAAAAAAATATATTTCGTCAGCCACGAATTATGCAGAAGTCCCGAATTCATCTGTTAAAAAAAATACATTAATAAATACTCAAACAAATTTTTGTTTTTATATTTCTTAAGTGTTGAACTGGAAACGATAGTAAGAAGATACTTACTAAGACTCAGGTGGCATGTCTACATTAGTTGAGTTGCCCTGCAGAGCACGTTGCATTTGAAGTTGCATCTGCAAAAGTTTTTGCATCATTTGTTGCTGCGCGTCTTCAAACTTCTGTTGTGCTTCTTCAAACTTCTGTTGTGCTCCTTCAAACTTCTCTAGCTTCTCTTTAGTTTCATCACGTTCCTTCTGAAGAGAATCAACAGTTGCTTGTAGCTCTTTTATCATATCAGCTTGTTCTCGATACTCAGTAGTGGATCTGAATGAATGACTAGAGGATGAAGGCTTCGGGCCATGTCCAAATCCTTTCTTATATCCAGATCGGCTACCAAGGACTGTGCATGCAATTTCATCCTGTGTCAATGGCTCTACACCCTCTTCTAAGTTTTGTGTGGCCAATTCTTTCATCCGCCCCTACAATTTAATATATTTAAACCCAATTATTAAGTGTATGAAAAAAATTGTTTAAAAAAAAAACAAAATTTCCTACAAATTGAAATACTTACATATCTTGACTCTGCCTCAGTAGAAACCCACTCACCCTTCTTGTTCACATGAGAATCGTGGAAAAAATCAACAATGTGGGGTGGCTCATCAGTCGTAGGGTCCCTCTGTTACAGTTAATCAAAATATCAATATTCAATTGTATGAATTTCCTATATATTAAAATTTAGGAAGCAAATGCTAAAGTATAACACCCTTTCATATAGTGCTGACTGAAAGGACTTTGAACCCATCGCGTGGTTGTATGGTAGTTTAGCACGATTTTTCGCATTTTTCTTAGATTTGTCCTATATACAAAGAATATAATTAGTAAACAATTAGGAATAAAAAGTGGATATTAATTTGCTTAGCTTCTAAAAGTTACCTGAAATTTTGGATCCTTGTAAAGTGTTTCAATTATGTACTCCCAATCCTCCTGACTCACATCACCATATGGCTTGCTCTTTGGGTCAACACCGGACTCAACCAAATCCTTGTAGTGCATATGCATATAGTATCGATGGTCCCTGTACCTCGCAGCAAATTTTTTGTCGACAGCCTTCCTAACACTAACTTTTTCATGATAGTCTCTAATGTTAAACTTTGTCTACAACAAAATATAAATATACAAATTAAAACCATCGGTTGTTACACTCTACACAAATAAATATATTGTTGAAACCAAACTAATATATGCACTAACCAACAATCGTGCAATTAGTGGTGCCTTCTCCTCCTCTGTTATTTGCTTCCATGTGTGCACATTTCTAATAGGGGCAAACGTCCTCGCTAGTGAGCCAATCTCTGTCATCACCTTCGAAGAATGTACACCCACTGGAACGCCGACTGCATCAGGAATCAAAACTTCAAGGGGGCCGTGAGATGCACGCATACGCTCAGCATTTTTACCTCTAGACGGTCCTCGACCTCGTTTCTTGGCGGTAGAAGCTGCTGCGCAAACATTAAGTAAAAAATGTTAGCACACCATAATAAGAAAAAAATGTTTAGAAAGTAAAGTATGCATCAAACCTGTACTGCTACCCTCTGTGCCTGCAACAGGCTGTGATGTAGGTGCATCAGATGATACACCCCTAACATGTGTACTCAAGGATGCACCCCTAGTAGGTGCCTCGGAGGATGCAACCTTACTAGTTGTTTTGGTGGCTCGGTGACCTGGTCCCATATATATAAAACACCTGACATATAGAAATATAAAAATTATATCGACAATATCCAAGTAGCTCACAAATATAAGTTATAATTTATTAATTACCATGAAAATATCTTAATAATTCATCTACATATCTGACTCTTCATCAGAATCAAAATGGACATTCACATCATTATCTTCTTCTGAATCGACATACTCAACTTGTGCCTCATCATTGTCATCACATATGAAATCATCAATGTTATTGTCTTCTCTGCTTCCCCACTGAACAATCCGGTCTCGATGAATGATTTCCCCATCAAGATCAGTCCTATGAAGTTGACCTATTTCATTATCTTCGACCACTACCGGAGCAACCTCTGTTAATTCATCCTGTTGGAATGCATCACTTGGAACATACGATCCATTTTCACTAACTTCTACATCTTTGTTTTCAGGAACATCCCATATTCCTCGATGATGTATGTGTTGCACAACTTGCCAATCTCTACCCAATTTTGTATCATGAACATAAAATACTTGTTTCACCTGATTAGGTAGTACAAAAGGGTCATTTTGATACCATCTACTTTTCACATTAATGCTTGTAACATGAGCATCAGTCTGAAATGTTTTCCCACTACCAAGGTTGAACCATTCACATTGGAATAAAAAAATACTATGGCCAAATATGTAACTCATCTCCCACACCTTATTTAAGTATCCGTAGAAATTAATGGTTTTATTATTATGTTCTCCTTCTACAACAACCCCACTGTTTTGACTTTTTCGACGGTTGTCACGCTCTTTAGTGTGAAATCGGACACCATTGCATATTGCACCAGAGTACACTTTTATTGTCACATCAGGACCGTTTGCTAGTGACCACAATTCATCAGTTGCTTCAAGTGACCCTTCGCCTCGTAATTGATTCATCTACACACATGAATATGGATTGTTTTTATGGTTATACAAACTAATGCAAATAATTATTATAATCTAAATTTGTATAGCTTACATGTTTTGCAAACCACTTGGGAAATTCTGATTGGTGGCGACGAGTGATGTCACCATTTCTTTCCAACTCTAATATATTTTTGTGTTCCCTACGTATAAAACCATAAATTTGACATATAACAAATTTTAAACAATTAAAAAGTACAATGACAATACTCACAAATATGTATATTTAACATACACATACTCTAGATACGGATCCAGTTCGGGACTATTATGTAGGACAAACCAATGAGCCATCTCTCGTTCCTGTTGAGAGACCTCAGTTGCTCTTGTAATTCGACCAAAAGGACGAACATTTTGGGTGAACACAGCTAACCCATGCACATTTTCAACTCGATCTGCATTTCGTTCCTCGCGATTAAAAACTGTTTCGATATGACTAAGATACATCGAGCAAAAGGTAAGACATTCTTTGACAATATAAGCCTCTGCAATTGAACCTTCTGGACGAGCTCGATTACGAACATATCCTTTTAAAGTTTCGAGATACCTTCAGTTAATTACAAAACAGATAAGGAGATAATACCAAAACCAAATAAGAAGCAAATAACAATTTTATTGTCTTACCTTTCTATTGGGTACATCCACCGATACTGCACGGGTCCAGCAATCTTGGCTTCCCTTGGCAAGTGAACTGCTAAATGAACCATAACATCGAAGAATGCTGGAACAAATATCTTTTCTAACTTACAAAGAATAAGTATTATGTTATCTTGTAATGCATCCAAGTCTTTTACCATCAATGTCTTTGCACATATTTGTTGAAAAAAATTTCCCAGCTCAAATAAAGTGGTACAAATTTCCCTGTCCAAGTAACCACGAATTCCTAGTGGAATAAGTCGTTGCAAAAGAACATGACAATCATGACTTTTCAAGCTTGATACCTTACCATCCTTCGTGCTCACAGACCTCGATATATTTGCTGCATATCCATCTGGATACTTAACTGATTTCAAAAATTCACAGAACCCTTGTCTTTCTTTTGGAGACAAAGTGTACCACGCAGCTGGTTTTACATATGCCTCCCCGTTCTTTTGGAGGTGCAATTCTTTTCTGATATTTAGGTCCTCCAAATCCAGACGAGCTTTATCTGTGTCCTTATTCTTGCCATCAATACTTAACAACGTGCCAAGCAAATTATCACATATATTTTTCTCTATGTGCATGACATCAAGGTTGTGTCGAATCTTAAGCACATGCCAATACGGTAACTCAAAAAAAATGCTCTTCTTTGTCCAATTAAGTTCCTCAGATGATCTCTTTCTTTTTCGATTGTTTGGATGCTTCCCGAATTGCACATTTGGTAAACCCTCCAACTGATCTAAAATCTCTTGCCCCGATAACTCACAAGGTTTTGATTTTTTCTCAATCTTACCATTAAATAACTTACTTCGTCGCCAGCTGTGACCTTGCGGCAAGTAACGCCGATGGCCTGTGTAGCCAATTTTGCTTCTTAATGGCTGTGATAATGCATCAAAATTACAAATTGGACATGCCTTGTAACCTTTTGTACTCCATCCAGATAAGTTACCATAAGCAGGAAAATCATTTATGGTCCACATAATAGCTGCACGCAATTGAAATGTCTGTTTGCTACATGCATCAAAAGTTACAACACCTTCCCACAATTCTTTCAACTCATCAATTAACGGGTGCAAGTATACGTCAATCTCCTTCCCGGGTGCCTGTGGTCCTGGAATAAGCAATGACATCATGAAGAATGGATCGCTCATACATTTCCAGGGAGGCAGGTTATAAGACATCAAGATCACCGGCCACATACTATAAGAGGTGCTCATGTTGCCAAAAGGGTTAAAACCATCTGTGGCCAATCCAAGCCTAACATTACGAGCGTCCCGAGCGAAATCAGGATATTGCTTATCAAAATCTTTCCATTCTTCAGAATCACCAGGATGCCTTGACAAATTCTCGTCGTCCACTCGCTTCTCTTGGTGCCACCTCATATCTATAGTGTTTTCCTCGACATAAACAATCTCTGTAACCTCGGTTTCAAGGGAAAGTATCGCAAGATCTTATGAGGTAT